CTCTCCCAGAAGAAAATCATTTCTTGTCCTAGATTTGGACTAATCAAATACATATCTGTCAAAGCTCTAAACTGCCTAGAGAGTTGCTATTTTCATTAAGAATTTTTCCAGTTTAATAGGTCATGTTTTTAATTTTAATTGTTATATATTCAGCTGACTTTTATTAATTCTGATGGTGTAACCAAAGATGAATTAAACTTATATAGCCACCCATCTTAAGCAAGTAACTCTAGGCAGCGAACAAACAATACATTAAAAATATACTAATAAAAAACCAACATAAAACAGTACAGACTACAATTAAGAATAATCATCATATTGTAACCAACGCACAGATGTTTCATTAAACCTTTTAGTTTAAAGGTGGCAAGAAATTTTAATTTAGCTTTGGATTCTTTAACTGGCTGTGATAACATTCTCAAAAATACAGATCAAAAGTCAGAGTGGCCCTGGGACTACGTAATAGAGTTTAATTTGACAACGTAATGGAATTTTAATTTGACATTTAAATTTATCTAACAACAATATGCTTCTTTTCCAAGCTTTATTGTACCTTAATTGAAATATTGTAGGTCAATTGAATCATCTTTTGTTACTGCAGTCCTTAGTTGATCAGGAAGACAGTCACTACAAAGACTACTGTAACATCAAACCACGATACATGTTACTTGTATCAATGTTTTTAAGAATTAAGCGCACTCAAGATGGCATTTCAATACTTCACGTTTAAAAAAATCCAGTTTGTTAATCTAAAACAGATTTGGGGATCTGTTTTTCAAATAAACATATTATCAACAAATCTGAGGATTGTGCCGGATGCTTCAAAAGCATTCAGTAGGGCCAGACTATCACATAAGCCTTGTGAAAGAAAAACAAAACTTACTATAGAAATTTGGAAAGGAAAAATCCTTTAAACAAATATTTGAGAAAACATATCTGGAGAAAGCTAATTTGCTGGAGAATAGTTTTGAAGATCTCACAATGAACCACATTTTCTTGGTTTATTTAAGTACTTGTTCAAAAAAAGAGGTGACAGGCATCAGCTTGAATTATTACTGAATGTACTATTGGTTATTAGTTATCTCTTCATGGGAAGAAGAGAAATTGTTAGAAA